TCCTTCCTTCATCCTCCTCCTCCTCCTCCTCCTTATCCTCTCTGCGCGCTACTGAAGCTGCCAGCCGGATGCTGAGATTAGGCAGCAGACGAATTACGGAATATCCGGCATCCCAGCGGATGTTGCGGCTTGCGTGGCTTCCTGGCTCGTCGCCCGCGTTTCTAGCATTAATTGATTACAGCGGAAGGAGAATTAGAGACCTTATCATGGCGTGGGAGAAAGAACTCTGCGGCGACTACAATATCGTCGCTAAGCTACCTGCGAAAGCGGTCGCCGTGATAAGCCTGCTGCGGCTTCGATGCTTTCGCGTCGACAGCGGTTGCGTTTTGAGTGATGTTGAATGTGAGACATGAATGAGACACAGCCGAGATATGGGTGAGACATGAATGAGACATGGGTGAACCATGAATGAGACATAGCTGAGACATGGGTGAACCATGAATGAGACACAGCTGAGATATGGATGAGACATGAATGAGATACAGCTGAGACATGGGTGAACCATGAATCAGATACAGCTGAGACATGGGAGAACCATGCATGAGATACAGCTGAGACATGGGAGAACCATAAATGAGACATATCTGAGACATGGGTGAACCATGAATGAGACACAGCTGAGACATGGGTGAACCATGAATGAGACATATCTGAGACATGGGTGAACCATGAATGAGATACAGTTGAGACATGGGTGAACCATGAATGAGACACGTCTGAGACACGTCTGAGACATGGCTAAGCAATGTCGAGGCCCAATTCAGAAACATATAGTTAATCACTTATCGTAGCAAATGACATGTTATATTTATGATAGCCATGATGGTATTTGCGGTGTTTCTGCCAACTGAGCCCTGGCACATAGCCGTGTGTATGTGATTGGAGCAAGGTTGAGACATGATCGACCGACGAATGAGGCACCGCTGAGACATGGCTGAGGCATGATTGCGTGAGGCAGTGAGTGTATACGTTTACGCTCGCCGTCTCATTGTCAAGCCTTTCGACTTTCATGCTACAGTTTACCTGCAGACGAGAAAATATTGGCATATTGATTTTCCAGTTAATGTCAATTCACTTTGTGATAAACGACTCACATCATCGTTTTGTTATTGTGACTCTTCACCTGCGCTAGCTAAATAATGCTGTAACATCTGCTGTTACATGCGCTGTCTGTCTGTCTGTCTGTTACACACAGCTGTCTGTCTGTCCGTCTGTTACACACAACTGTCTGTCTGTCCGTTTGTCTGTCTGTCTGTCCGCCTGTCTGTCTACCCGTCAGTCTTTTTACGACTCGCCGCTGCTTTTATGTGCGTGCGTGCGTGCGTGCGTGCGTGCGTGCGTGCGTGCGTGCGCATGCGTGTATGTATCGCTAGCGCGGTTTCCCGCGCAGACGCACACGTGTAACGTGACTGTATACGCAGTAGCGTTTATCCACGTTCCCCGCGGCACTGAATCCCCCCCTCCCACCTATCCACCCCCTCCCACCTATCCACCCACCTACCGTGAACGCGTGTGTGCTGCACCCGATCTCAGCACTCTTATCGAAATGCGATATTTGCTGATATATTGCCGCCTGATTGCATTTCCTGCCTACTACCAGAAGTGGCCTTCAGCGCTCGTTTCTAGTTGCTCCGCGTCTGCGTGTCACGTGGGCTGCGTCTGTTCGCCGGCGACGCCCTCTCGTGGTTAAAACTGCGAACTATCTACATCGGAACAAAGTCCACTTATCTACCATCTAAAGTCCACAAAGGCCACTTATCTTAATCTACCTGTACCTTTACATTGTTCACATGTCTTACTCTACCTTCACCCTTACATGGTCTATCTATCTTACTCTACCTTCACCCTTACATGGTCTATCTATCTTACTCTACCTTCACCCTTACATGGTCTATCTATCTTACTCTACCTTCACCCTTACATGGTCTATCTATCTTACTCTACATGTAACCTTACATGGTCTATCTATCTTACTCTATCTTCACCCTTAAATGGTCTATCTATCTTACTCTACCTTCACCCTTACATGGTCTATCTATCTTACTCTACATGTACCCTTACATGGTCTATCTATCTTACTCTACATGTAACCTTACATGGTCTATCTATCTTACTCTACCTTCACCCTTACATGGTCTATCTATCTTACTCTACCTTCACCCTTACATGGTCTATCTATCTTACTCTACATGTAACCTTACATGGTCTATCTAGCTTACTCTACCTTCACCCTTAAATGGTCTATCTATCTTACTCTACCTTCACCCTTACATGGTCTATCTATCTTACTCTACATGTAACCTTACATGGTCTATCTATCTTACTCTACATGTAACCCTTACATGGTCTATCTAGGGTGAAGGTAGAGTAAGATTACATGGTCTATCTATCTTACTCTACATGTAACCTTACATGGTCTATCTATCTTACTCTA